ACAAGCATGAAGCAATTATTTATATTACACTTCCAATTTACAAATTTTCATTCTCAGCCTCAACCTCTCTTTCTCTTTCTTTCTCAGCCTCACAACAATAGGAGTGTGTTCTGCTTATTCCCCCTTTACAGATGGGTCAACTGGGGTTGATTTGTCCATCTTAACTCCAAATTTATAAGGAATTTCTAAGTCCAGGCTTCTGGGCCCAACCTGTCTCTAACATACAATGTGCATGGATAATACCTTGAAAAGGGAATGGGAGAAGGATTAAATAGTATACCATGGATAAGATTCTATAGGTGGGAAACTGAGTCTGAGATAGAGTGACAAGGTCACAGCGAATCTTCACCTCTGACCCCAGTAAAAGCACTTACAACAACTGAGAAAGGAGTTTGCATCTCCCTTGGCAACAGGCCATGACATCTTGGGAACAAACCTCACACTTTGAGGCAGAGAAACAGGATCCATCACTGCATGTATAGCGCAATGAACACTGAGTCATGAAGTTAGTTTTCTAGCTGTCCAAGAGATGATCACCTTTTTCAGAGTCTTGCCTTGGTTCCCGCACTCCAATATAGAGATAGTAATCATAAAATCATAGAATTGTAAAGTTGGAAGGTACTCCAAGGGTCATCTAGTCCAACCCCTTTGCAATGCAGGAATCTCAACTAAAGCATCCATGACAAATGGCCATCCAACGTCTGCTTAAAAACCTACAAGGAAGAAGAGTCCACAATGCCTCCTGAGGCAGCTTTACTGTCAAAAAGGTCTTCCTGATGTTCAGTAGGACTCTCCTTTCTTGTAATTTGAAGCCATTGGTTCAGGTCCTAGCCTCCAGAGAGAGAGAAAACAAGCTAGCCCCATCTTTCATGTGACAGCGCTTCAGATATTTGAAGATGGTTATCATATCTCATTTCAGTTTCCTCTTTTCCAGGTTAAACATACCCAGCTTCTCAAGCCATTCCTCATAGGCCATGGCCATTCCATTATTTTGCTGTGTGGTCCAGGCTCACATGTATACTTGCTCATAGGTATCCTCCACACAGTCAATGAAATGAATGTGCACAGGTCACAAATGAAGACAACTAATCCAGTGCTTCCAACCCCAGCCCCCACCTAAATTTGTAACGTGCTTCCGACTCTCATTTATGACCCATGCAGGAAGAGAGAGAGAAATACCTGCTTGCTTTAACTAGCTGCTCTAATTGAACAAGAAAGGGACTTGCAACTGGAGCTGCAGAAAGGGACAGTCTGCTCTTCTTTCCTTTCTCTATCCTTCATTGCTAGCAGCAGGAGGCAGGGAATACACATGGAGAGCATGTTACCATGGCTGCAAAGCTGACCACAGAAATGTGAACAGTACACACACATGGATGCAATAATACATCCCGGTATTGGTAGCAGAGTTGTGATGTGCCCATTTCCCCCCAATCTTCACAGTTTTTGATGTGTGCAAACAAAATATTTTCATTGTATGCCTTTTAAAAAACAACAACCCAGACCTTAACCACTGCATGCATTGTATACCTACAAACACAGAGCAAGGAGCTGCGCTGGCTGCAATCCCAACTGCAAGTAAGCCCAGTTATAAGCATGGAGTTATAAGCTGCTGCAGATACCTGTGCTTATGCTGCAGCTGATGTTATAAATGCAGACCCTTCAACTGTCCCTATTTTCCAGGGACTGTCCCAGATTTACAGAAGCCGTCCTAGTTTCTGATTTGATCCCAGAATGTCCAGTTTTTCCATAGGATGCTCCTATTTTCATCGGAGAAATGTTGGAGAGTATGCAAATGAGGAAAGGAAACAGAAGGGGCTGGAGGAGGGAGGTTAAAGAGCTGAAAGGAGAGTCAGGGGCCTGCCAAACTGTTGAAAGCGAGAGAAGCCACTCTGTTGACAAGCTTCAGACAGGGGTGAAGGAAGGCGTTGTCACACCCGGGGCGGGCGTCATGACGTAGGGCGCATCTGCAGTGTCGCTACGTACGATGCATGCACCGTACGTAGCAGCGCCACACATGCGCTGTATAGTGGCTTGCCGCCAGCACTACTCCAGCGCTGTACGGACAGTGCTGGGATCCCTCTGGCACCGCTAGAGCCATGAGCAGAGGATCCCAGCACCATCCGTACGGTGCTTGAGCGGCACCGGCGGCAAACCACTATACAGCGCATGTGCAGCGTCACTACGTACAGCGCATGCGTGTGACACCACACACGCGCTGTACGTAGCGGTTTGCTGCCAGCGCCGGGAACCTCTGCTCGCGGCTGCAGCCATGAGCAGAGGATCCTCCAAAGGCAGCTGTGGCGGCGCCATGGGTGCTTGCACTGCCACGAGCCCCCATGGAGTGACTTCTTGTCACCTCCGCAGGCATGGAACCTGGGGCGTACCCCCCCCCATTGCGACACCACTGGCTTCAGATCTACTGAAGGTTCGCTTCAAGGCCTGAGGAGAACTGCAGTTGCTGTGGACAGTTTTTGGACCACAGGCTGCTGAACCCTAAACCATTCCACTTTGCCTAGCGCAAGCACAAAGTGTGCATCATATTCTATTTCTTTTATTCTCTATTTCTTTCTTTTAGAAACTACCTAGCTCCTTATTAAATCCCATATGACCAACTGCACACCAAAAACTTATTTGACACTGCACAATTTATTAACACTCCACAAAATGTGTCCAGCAGCACGTTAGAATACACCCTGGGGTATTTTGAGATAACGGAAGGGCATCTAGACAGATCAGCATGCATCTGGGTTGCTACATTTGGAAACCACAAAAACCATTAACGGACCAATGACATGCAGTATTCAAGTTGATGTTTTCATCAACGTCTCTTGCTCTACAGTTCAAATGCAGTGCCGTAAATACGCAGGCCTCACTATCAACTTTTGCTGAGAGGCAAGGGGCCAGCTTCAATATCATTGTTACATCTGCAGCTTAACTGACTTCCGCAGCAGCTTATGTGCTTATAGCTCAATGTGCGACATCCAAGGGTCATTGCGATAGTATTGTTATTCATTATCAGTCATCTACCAAATAACTTATGCAAATTGCCATTTCAGGCATTCGTTCTTCACTCTCACAACCAAAACGCACCAGCAGTTTAAAACATTTCCTTCCAACAAATAAAGCATTATCAAGTTCTCAGAAATCCAAGGAAAGCCAGTGTTTCAAGATTAACTTTATAGTATACATTAACAAGCATCATGTGCATATTGATCAGACAGGAAATGACATGTAATTAGAAGAGGAAGAGAACTAGTCCTCCAGCACCAAATAATGTCCTGAGTTGAGCCAGGAGGAGGTTACATGTTTGGAAGGGGAAAGAATAGCGCTCTCTCACTCCCTCTCCCTCATACTGGTATCTCACTTCACCAGCATGTTAAGATTTTATTTGTTGGAGGAATGGGCCTGCAGACTTTGCATTCTTAGCACCCAGTTCTAACCTCTGCGCAATCCTGTTTACCGGCCCCATGCATGACATGAACTCACAGACATGGCATTCTTAGCATTCTAACATAACTAAATTAAGTTACATGGTGGTCTTCTAGACCAGCCTCTCATATGCTGCGATCTGCAGTTTCTACTGGTGGGTCAGGGCAGCTGGAAGAAGAAGCAGGGGAAAAATAATAGGAAGACTCTGCTATGAGGGCCTTCTGGTGGTTCTCTCACTGCAAGTGAAGTTACAGGGAAGGAGGCAGAGGGCCTTCTCGGTAGTGGCGCCCGCCCTGCGGAACATCCTCCTGTCAGATGTCAAACAGATAAACAACTACACGTCTGAAGGCAACCCTGTATTGGGAAGTTTTTAATGTCTGGATTTTTGCTGTGTTTTTATTATGTTGGAAGCTGCCCAAAATGGCTGGAGCAACCCAGTCAGATGGCTGGGGCATAAGTAATAAGTTGTTGCTGTTGTTGCTGTTGTGATTATGAGATTCACAGTCCTTGCTATGAATGTTTCTTAAGATTAAGAACCTTTGCTCTCCCTGGCTGACAGGGGATCTGAAAATGCAGCAGAACTCCAGGGCATGTCCAGAGATGGAAGGAAGAGGAAATAAGAGCTTTGCAAAGGATGCAGAGAGTCTGCACAGCATGAACACGATGCAGTCAAACACAGCATGCCCTTGTTTATGCAAACAGCATAACAATTAAAATTAATGCTTAGGAACCAGAGAAATAATGCCATGATGGCACAGTCATTATCTTCATATATCCTGCTGATGCCACTTAGGAAATTACGTGTTTGCTTCCTAAATACACTTGCTTCAGACAATGTGGTGTTTAAAACTACAATGCATAATGTGGTTAAGGTCTGCACATTCTATTCCTTAATAAGAAATTTCATGTTGCCATTTGTCTTGGTGGATAATCCAGCCTAATCAGAGTTTGTAAACAGCACAATAACACAATCACCCAGCATGGTCTATATATATATATATATATTTAAAAAACTGTATTAATTCTGTATTGTTATTCAACCAGCGATCAGCCCCCTCCTAACAATTAGGGTTAGGATGACTAATTTGTGGGACGCATTGCAATTTTATGAGCTCTTCTGGTTGCGTTCTGTAGTGGAAAAACTTTAAAAATCTGAATTTGTCTGCCTGGCTGCAATCCTTCTTTGTTATTTAAATAAAAACATCTGGCGTGGGATAAAATATAATTCTATGCGGGGTCTGGAATCACAGCAGGAACAAATCTGTGTTATGCTAAGTACTGATATCTAAATATATTGTTCAGAAGACCTACTAACAGTGACTATACTCGACGCACCTTAACTGATCATCTGCTATGACTCACTGCTCTTTTTGTCAGCAGATCTATGTGCCACCCTGAGACCCTTAAAAGTGAAGGGTCATTGCATATATACCCTACCCTTAAGCCTTGGGACCAGAGCATTTTGAGTAAAATGAAAGCATTGATCACAGACAAAAACTGGGTTTGGGTTTGTTCCCTAGAACCTCGGGGACTAGCTCTTACTATCTATATCAGTGTTTCCCAACCTTGGGTCTCCAGCTGTTTTGGACTACAACTCACATCATCCCTAGCTAGCAAGACCAGTCAGGGATGATGGGAATTGTAGTCCGAAAACAGCTGGAGACCCATGGTTGGGAAACACTGATCTATATCCATCTGCAGTCAGAGCAGCTTTTCTGCATCAGGGTAGGAGGAAGGGGGCTCGTGTGTGCTAGTATTGTGTCATCACTGGTGTGAGTTCTGGCCTAGGCTGCCTTTCCTCATGTGCTTCACATGCGCCACCCTTCATCCTCCCCTGCAGCCAATTTCCTCTTCTGCCTGACCAACTGGGAAGGAAACAAGTTAAATCAGCCTGGGAACAGCTTTCTGAAAGCAGAAAGAAGCTGAAGTGAGTTCCCACAAAGACAGCAATTGGTTCTGTAACATGACCCCTTCACATGAGAACAAGGGAAACCCACTCACAAACAAGGAAATACTGATACAGGCCCTATCTGTGGCTCTGAAACACATCTGTCTGTTATAATAACCAGCCACAGAAGCCCTGCTTTCCACTGCGTTTCCCGCATTGCCTCGACAATGTACTGCCAAGGAGGAAGCACTCCTGGTGCAACAAAACGCTCCTTTCTGTATACAACAGGACTACATGTTGACTCCCCCTGAACAAGCCAATGCATATCGCATTGATACTCCACTGCCTTCACCTTCTTTTGCCACTGTGGGGTACGAAGAGGTTAGGTTAGGGAGGTTAGGAAGGTTAGGAAGATTGGAACATGAATGAGGAAACATGGTTCTGTCAGCCAATCTGGCCCTGCCAGGGGGTCCAGTCTGGCTCACAAGGTCATTTCCCCCAAACCAGACCCACCCGCCCCATGGTGGCACAAGATGCTGATGGGCAGGACTTTTGGTTTCTTTGTTTTTGAAAGCTTGCCCCTCTTTTGAAAGCTTCAACCTATGAAAAGGATCCGTGTGGGATGGCCTCCCCCATTCAAAGAAAGGGATCTTCTTGATTTGCAATGCATGTTTCTTAAGCTTGCAATGATGAAACAGGTGGACTCTCTGAAGCAGTCTTCCACCCCACACCTTTAAAAATCACTGGGTAGATCATTAAGCAGGGGGGAGAGACTGCTTTAAAGCATGTTTGCTTTAAGACAGATTTCCTTAATCATTAGAGGAATGGTGATGGGATAAAGAGATTGAGGGAGGGAGGAGAGGGGAAGAGGTTTAGAAAATGTAATGGGTCTGGGATAAAAATGGGGTATAATACGACAAAAGTCAAAGAGTAGATACCAACCCACAGGACTTTGTATATGTTACAGAAATAAAAGCCATTTGTTGGTTTATAAAAGCATTTATTTCCCACTCTGGGGGGCATTGTACATCCAAAACATCCTTCAATATTATAAAAACACAATATGTTCGACAATTGGAGCTGACAAAAGCAGGAGCAGTGGCAATTTTTTTAAAAGGCCAGTAAGTCCAGGAAAAGCCCTATTTCGGAAATAATTCAAAAGAAGTGGGTTTTGAAAGAAGTGGGGCTTTAGCAAAAACCCATTTAAAAATCCACAGAATAGACTGTTACAGTTAAAGCCTGACTTACTTAACAAATTGAGCATGGTCTGTCTACAAAAAAAGCTAACCACTAGGTTTCCTAATTAACTGACTGTTGGTCGGGTAAGTCTTCAATCGTTTTGAAGACAAAGGAAGTGGCAAACCAGATGGTGTCTGAAATCTATTATCTCTCCCAACAAAGTGTTGTGAAAACCAAAACAGTATGGGGGGGGGAATAAATAAATAAAATTAAGCAGAAAACGTGACCTAGAGACTTTGGAGGGGACAAAATGTGGCAATGGTCCATATGAAATATAGAGAAAGATATTCAGAATGTTGCATATAGATGTCAATGCAATATTTATATGGTCTACTTGCATGATGACAGACTGTCCCACTACCTTGGCTGGTGTGGGATGTTGACATTTCAAAGGCAACTGAGCTTACACGCAAAGCTCTGTTGTGATACAAAAACACAGGCACGCTTATGCCGCCGACTGCAGAAAATGTAGGTGGTGCACTTACAGAAAGAAAACGTTTCTCACATTCACTGTTTAGAATGGAAAAGCAGCCATCACATGGCTAAAATATTGTGCCTAATGTATGTAATAATGGCTGCAGAGGCGTAGCAAGGTCAGGTGGTACCCAGTGTGGAATTTTTTTGTCACTGCCCCCCACATCAACTGCTCAGGGTAGATTTGGGAGTCGTGGGCGGGCAGCGGGCCGAATGTCACCCCCCTCAGCGATGACACCCGGGGCGGTCTGCCCCCCCCGCACCCCCCTTTCTACGCCTCTGCTGATGGGGTCTGGGTCGAGCAACCATTTTAATTTCCCCCAATACCCTCAAGGTAGCATTGCTCCAAGGCATTGTGGGGAATTAAAATGGCAAACCGTCTCAGACAACTGTGCCCCCCACCTGCTCTCAGTTCACCACAACCCCATCACCAAAGGAGGAAGCTCACCCAAGGGTATTGCCCAAACTGCACTATATTATCTTATTCAGTTAGGAGAGGGCAGTGAATTAATTAATTCAGATAAATTGTAATTTATTAATTCAAAAGACTTGGGATGTGGCAAGGGAGTAATTTATTATAGCAGGCTGTCGAGAAACAGTCTGGAGCAATCTTTCTAGTAAAGAATTACAGGATCTTAACAATGAGATATACATGGGGGGGCATATACCTCCCTAAATCAATAAAAATACATAGCTAACGTAGGGACGCGGGTAGAGCTGTGGGTTAAACTACAGAGCCTAGGACTTGCCAGTCAGAAGGCCGGCGGTTCGAATCCCCGTGACAGGGTGAGCCCCCGTTGATCGGTCCCTGCTCCTGCCAACCTAGCAGTTCAAAAGCACATCAAAGTGCAAGTAGATAAATAGGTACCACTCCGGCAGGAAGGTAAACTGCGTTTCCATGCACTGCTCTGGTTCACCAGAAGCGGCTTAGTCATGCTGGCCACATGACCTGGAAGCTCCCTCGGCCAATAAAGCGACCCCAGAGTCGGCCACGACTGGACCTAACATTCAGGGGTCCCTTTACCTTTAACGGAGGTTCTGCCCCCCCCCCCAACAAAAGGTCTGCCTTCCCCCAACAAAAATACTGGCTACACCCATGGAGATCCCTTAATCCTTAATCCTTCATTTAAAAGTGGGGAGCACACTTTGGGTTGCTTTCAATACTAGTCCTACTCAGGGTAGACCCATTGAAGTTAATCGGCATGACTAATTTCAGTCCCATCAATTGGATGCAACCAAGGGATTTTAACATCTAGATAACCACACATTTTCAAACCTGTCAGACCAAGTCAACCCCAATGTTCAGAAATTCAGAACAGGCCGGAGAAACTGTTCAGATTGAATGTGATAACCACCCAAAAAAAGTTAACTGGAGGGTAGGCAAATCCAATTTGGAACCCACTGTGAAACGGCAAGTACTACTAGCCCATGGAAATATTGAAAAAATAAGAATATCAATGTGATCATATGCCAACAAGCCCAGGAGTGGGAGTGGGATTATGGGGTGTCCAGAAGGAGGTGGAGGAACACATGTTCTCCACCCCTAATTTGTTTATTAACCTCGTTTTCCATACCACCCAATAACTGAAGCACTCTGGATGGTTTACAAAGCAGAGCTCAAAACCGTACATTACAAAAACACAGGACTGATACATCATGAAATATATATATTTGTGTGTGTGTGTAATAAAATGAAAATAAAGACAGCAACAGAAGACAAACGCTCCACAAGGTTCTACAAAGCACTTACCCCCTTTCATAGTTATGCATGGAATTCCCTCCCAGTAGACCCAAGACAGGCTACTCTGCTCCAGGGATTCTGGAAGGTTTTAAAGATTCAGCTTGTTCGAAGGAACTTCCCCTGGGTACTTTTTAATTGGCTGGACTGTGGCTATTACTGATTATGTTTTGCTGGTCTTTTGGTGTTTGATGATTTGATTGGTTTTCCTTCTTTCTATGTGCTCTTGATTTTTACCAGTTGAGGCAAAAATGTGGAGAATGGAATTTAAGATTGAGAAACATAGAAAATGAGCTTTCCATCTCTACATACAAATGGCCTTGCCTGGCACATTAACTAAGATATTCGACAACATAAATTAGTCAATGAGAAATGTGTTTGCAGTGAAGGGCTGCCTTTGGTGGAACACACAATGAAAATTTGGCAAGCATACACAGAAGAAACACAGAGTTTATCTACACGGAGCAGTTACCCATAACCACTAACATTTTTTAAAAAGTGTACATGCAGACAACAATCAGTTCGTTTCCCTGATCTTCAGATAATAAGGAATCTTGTTTGTTAAAAACTGTTAAAGTGTTGCAGGAAGCACCCACCCCAGTCCTTACCAAGAAGGGAAAAAATCGCTCATTTTTGGAGATGCAGAATTCATGCACAAAAAGTCCTATGATACATCAGTAATGATACAGATGGCAAACTCAGATGTGGGGTGTTGTACTGTGCATACTGCCCTGCCCCACCCTTCCAGCTTGGTTAGGAAAAGGTAAGATTTGCACACTGCATTTTGCTCACTTTTAGAGACTGTTTCTGAGATCCCAGTGAAGTCTGGTTGTATGCAATTATTCCTAGGTGTGGAACCTACAGGACAGCCGTGAAGGTGGTATAAAATTGGAACAAAGTAAACAGCTAGTGGGATCTTTAAACAACATACAGTTGATTTCTAACTGCAAAGCCTCATCTAGGTATCACCGAGAGTTCACTTAGAATCATAGAGTTGGAAGAGACCACAAGGGCCATTGAGTCCAACCCCCTGCCAAGCAGGAAACACCATCAGAGCACTCCTGACATATGGTTGTCAAGCCTCTGCTTAAAGACCTCCAGAGAAGGAGACTCCACCACACTCCTTGGCAGCAAATTCCACTGTCGAACAGCTCTTACTGTCAGGAAGTTCTTCCTAATGTTTAGGTGGAATCTTCTTTCTTGTAGTTTGGATCCATTGCTCCGTGTCCGCTTCTCTGGAGCAGCAGAAAACAACCTTTCTCCCTCCTCTATGTGACATCCTTTTATATATTTGAACACGGCTATCATATCACCCCTTAACCTC